TTCCACTTGTCCATTTGATCAAATGGACAAACAAAATTCCAATGGACATTTGCAAGTCCATTGGATCCATTGGATCCAATGGACAATTCTTTTGGCTATCTCAATGGCCTTGTATATCTACATAACGTCCATGTGCTTGTCATTACGTCATTGAAATACATGGTAATTCACCAACTGAAAACGCAAATGTCCGATGGAAATTCCACTTGTCCATTGGATCCAATGGATAAACAAAATTCCAATGGACATTTGCAAGTCCATTGGATCCATTGGATCCAATGGACAATTCGTTTGGCTATCTCAATGGCCTTGTATATCTACATAACGTCCATGTGCTTGTCATTACGTCATTGAAATATATGGTAATTCACCAACTGAAAACGCAAATGTCCGATGGAAGTTCCACTTGTCCATTGGATCCAATGGACAAACAAAATTCCAATGGACATTTGCAAGTCCATTGAATCCATTGGATCCAATGGACAATTCGTTTGGCTATCTCAATGGCCTTGTATATCTACATAACGTCCATGTGCTTGTCATTACGTCATTGAAATACATGGTAATTCACCAACTGAAAACGCAAATGTCCGATGGAAATTCCACTTGTCCATTGGATCCAATGGACAAACAAAATTCCAATGGACATTTGCAATTTGTTTGGCTATCTCAATGGCCTTGTATATCTACATGACGTCCATGTGCTTGTCATTACGTCATTGAAATACATGCCAATTCACCAACTGAAAACGCAAATGTCCGATGGAAATTCCACTTGTCCATTGGATCCAATGGACAAACAAAATTCCAGCGGACATTTGCAAGTCCATTGGATTGTTACGACAGTGGCAAAACCATGGCCGAAATAAGTTCGAAATTTAGGAATCGAAGTTAATTCCACCTCGGAACTAGGCTTACGTGTGAGTATAGTCGGAAAATTTGATGAATCGGTTGGAAAACGCTCCAAACGCACGTGGCGAAATAGTTCAGAACATAAACAAATTCTGACAAAACCAACGGCAACGAAATACACGATCGCAAACTCGAGACGATAGTTTCAAGTATATAATTTCAACAAAAGGTTTTAACGTGTGAAACGCACAGTAACCGTGAACATAAACGTGAAACGTGGTTCGACTAAATAGAATAGATATAGACCTAAATTAATACTAAATCATATAAACTAACTATATAAAACATAACTGCACAATAAACTTATGAACTGCATGCACATGAATTTGTCACTTACAGATGTTTTTCCTGTCGCTCTTTTTCGTCTATTCTTTTACCATAAATATCCTCTAAAAGATGTAGCAGTGTCCTCTGTCTTTGAATTACAAAACTATACTGATCCATGCACTGGCTTTCTTGTCATGATGTACACTTGTCATATTAAACCAATTATGAGATAAAATAAAGGCTGATTATCTATACCAACAAATGTTCGACTGCTCTGTGATCATTAACAGATGCGAGTGTCATTCACAATGATGCACTTATTAACCTTAACGTCTTAATCTATCTTTCCGATCGAACAAGTGGAAATGACATACTGGCCACTGATTTTTATTATCATAACACACCTTCTGATGTACTACAAGAGCAATTTATACAAGCGTATATCTCAGCATCAAATGGTAGTCAGAACTCACAGTCTCCAATTGGAGAAAATTGGATTGCCTCTAATTCATACTCTTATCAAAGGGCTCAGAAGCAACGCTCGAAAATTGAACGTCTTGAAGCGGAAAACGTAAAATTGAAGAGAATAAGTAAGACGTTGTCCCACGAGATCAAAGCGAAAACAACACTTTCGCAGTTGCAAATTACTGAGTTGAGAGAAGAGAATAACAAATTGGCGATAACTTTGGCAAACAAGGATGCTGAGATACAAGGAACGTTTTTAGAACTTAGCCGTTTAAGTGTGGAGTTAACGACAGTACAGAATGAAAAGAAAAGAGATGAGCTGTTTAGTACATACATACATACATACATACATGACTTTATTTAGAACACGGAGAACCATCAGTACATTTTATGAAAAAAATCTATTTACAAATAAAAGCAATTAATATAAGTTAGGAAGAAGACAAGATTGAAGGGAAGAAGGAAAGGAGGAGAGGTACTGTTCTACCTGGTTTGCCGTGTGGGAGTCGGTAGGACTGGAAGAATATAGAGATTCCAGACTTCCTTTAAACGAGGAGAGGGATGATGATAATCTAAGAGATTCAGTCAAGCAGTTCCATAGTGATGCTCCACTATAACTGAAGGAGCGCTTAAGATAATCAGTATTGGGCTTAGGAACAAATAACTTGCCATTAGAATTTCTTAGTAAATATTGACAATTTCTGGATGAAAACAATTCTTGTAAGTACTGGGGAGATTGACCATTAAGAGTTTTAAACATAACAACAGCTTTTTGCTTTTGACGGTTAACCGGCAAAGTGTTCCACTGCAGCTGATCTAGAAGTTGACTAGATGAAATATCGTAAGAAGAACGGGTAATAACACGAGCTGCTCTGTTTTGAAGTTTTTGAAGCCTATCACTTAGAGTTACTCCGAGGCCGTCCCATACTGGAGCACAATAGGAAAAGTATGGTTCAATAAAACCTTTATAGGCTTTAATAGCAGTTTCTTGGTCAATCAGCCCGCGCACCCGTTTTAAAGCTCCAATACCAGAAGAGATCTTTTTAGTGATGACCTCAACATGGTTTCTCCAAGTAAGGTTTTCATCCAGGGTTAGCCCTAGGGTTTTAGTTGAACTAACTTGCCTCACTGGCACATTGTCGACCGAGACACTTGGCTCGTAATTATTAAAAGTTGCTAAACGCTGACGTGAACCAATGATCATGAACTCAGTTTTAGCAATATTCAAGCTTAATTTGTTGGCTATTAACCATCTGTTTAGGTTAATCAGACTAGAATTCATCAGAAATTCAAGGTGAGATAAATTATCACTACTAAAATTTAGATTGGTATCGTCAGCAAACATTCTTGCGAAACCCTCATTTAGGCAGTTTGGGAGATCGTTGATATAAACCAAGAATAGCAGAGGCCCGATTATTGAACCCTGAGGAACTCCTCTGGATGTAGAAGAGATACCAGAAAACTGACCGTTAACAAAACACTTTTGCCTACGATCAGTTAAATAGGATCTAAACCAAGATTGTGCCAAGTCATCCACACCATATGCTTTCAACTTTGAAAGTAAAATGTTATAGTCAATAGTGTCAAAGGCCTTCTTCAGGTCAATGAAGACTACGCCGTTTAAAAGACCTCTATCAATATTGACACACCAGTTATTAGTTGCTTCTAGTAAAGAAGTGAGGGTGCTGTAATTAGACCTAAAGCCAGATTGATAAGGATTGACAAGCTGATTATCAGTTAAATATGCATAAAATTGGTCATAAACGAGCCTTCCAAAACTTTTAGCAATTACAGAAATGATTGAAATAGGTCGATAGTTGCCGAGATCACGTAATAGTAAAACGTACAAGTTCCATTCAGCTTCAACTCAGACGTCGTGGATTTCAGATTCCTTAGATTCAAGGGCATCGAGTGATTAAACGACAGAGGTGGGACATAATCAAGTCGAAAATCGTCATGGGCAAGAGTCACTTAACGAAACGGCAAGTCTAACTGATATGCCACATACCGCTGTAGATGGATGTATCTATAACAACTAATAACTCTTGTTACTGCGAATATCTCACGATCTCCTGACGGAAGATGTCCTCAAACTAAAACAATGGGTGGAAAGTCGATTTCAAATCGACACTTCTGGAAGTGTGAACGCAATTCTCCTGGAACTAGATCGTAAGAAAATCATCACGATTACCGATCTGAGTCGACTGAAAAAAAATAATTTGAAGATATCTTAAGATATGATTATGTGTATCCTATTGACAATTATCTTCTTGGGGAGTATACACAGCTAAAGATTCCCAAGCCTGGTGAAAGATCATTTAGTCGAGGATGGAACTCCCAGAATGGACTGGCCTCTCAGCGGTTTGGTCATCTACCATCAGCACAATGGCCATCACGTTTAACAGCCAGAGGGCATTCCACTGGTTCAGCAGACCAGTCAAGGAGTACTGCACTAGGTTTTCAAAAGCAATTTCAGGTATCACGGGCAAACTCGAGGAAGATTGTAGATACTGCGGGTATATCGAGTTCCACACAACGCGCTACCCAACGATCTGTTGCTCGAAATGGTCCTAGCTCGCATTCACGCAGACCTCATCCTCTGCCAAGTACGTCAACTTTATCTGGCAAGGAGACTTTAATCAGCAGTACTGCTTCGCAAGGTATAGTAGTCACTGATGCTGCAAAACGAGAGGATGCTGGTGGTAGGTTAAATACACGGCTAAAAACGCACAGGTGTTCCAAGTTGATATCGACAGGCGTGAACAATGTTGTGCGGCCACTATGAACAAGTTTTCAACCATGTTGTTCCAAGTTGTTACAGTTGAACAATGCTGTTACAACATGTTGACAATACTGTTCATAGTGGGCCGCACAACCTTGTTCACGCCTGTTGATATCAACATTGAATGGTGGGAGGAAAGGGGGAGGTTTCCTAAATTTACGATAATATTACGACATTTTGACAAGTAATTCGAAGTGTTGCAGGTGCTTTGTCCAGGATTGTAGCTTCTAGGAAATCGTACTCATCCAAAGTGATGTTTAGATCCTTCCGTCTGGAGACTTAGTATGAAGAATCCCTCTAAGATAAACACGATGCCCTGTCATTCATCTGTTTGCATATTTTGTAGTGTATTTATTAAGTTTATGAATTTCTTCTCCTACAGTTCAGGCCAGCGGTTCAACAGTACGTGGCGATCAAGTTAATGCTTCACGTAATTCAAACCCTGGAAGCAATGGACAGAAGTTGTCAAAATTCCAACCACCTGATGCGGATGAGGACGACCAATGGTTATGCAGTCATTACAAACGACGTTGTTACGTCAAATTTGAATGTTGTAACAAGTTTTGGCCATGTCATCGTTGCCATAACAACCAAAGCACATGTGGCAGGAGGACGCTCAAAGCACGTGACACGAAACAGCTTAAGTGCGCTGCTTGCGGTCTAGAACAACCGGTATGTTGGCAATTAAGAATTAGTTTCCAACATTCGTTATTCAAGCGAATTAGGTTGCTAACATACGACCACCTTTTGTAGGTAGAAATTTAGTTCTTTAAATTCCTTTTACTTAAATTTCATGCAATATATAGCCTAGCTAGATTTAGCTAGCTTGCGTTATAGCCTGCCAATGCTTTCCTGGTTGAAAAATTATTGTTACAACATTTGTTACACGGTTATTCAGTTATCGCTCAAAGGCTTTCAGACATTGGCAAGGGAAGGGGGGGGCAGCTACCTCCCTGCCTGCCCCAAGCCTGCTTCCCTCCTGGTTGCCCCCCCCCCCTCCTGGTATTGCCACTGATTCGACTTTAATTCAGAAATAGTCTATTACTGTATAGTTTCCACTTTTATGTTAATGTCCTTTCAATTCTTTATTTCAGTTTGCACATTACTGTTCAAAACGCAACGCAAAATTTGCGAGATACTTTTGTGGTTTGTGTAAACACCTGACAGGCACTGATGATAATCCTTACCATTGTGAAAAATGTGGTATTTGCAGGTGAGATACCAGGGTAATGCTCACTGCATGTGCCTGGTTTCGAGCAAAAAATAAAATTTTTCAGCAGAGGATTTTTACAGCCAGAGGACTTCTTTGTTCACATGAGGTCCTGTCTGTATAGCTCGGACTGAAGTACAGTTGAATTTTGCCATTAACTAATGTCATAAGCTTAGTTTTGAACCTTTATAGCCAGAGGAGTTCTTTGACCGAGATCAAATCTCGTTTTCTGAATACATCTGATTGTTTCTGAACTGTAGTTTTAACGATATTTCGCAATTCCATAATTTCAAAAATTTCAATATGCGATCACTTCGAGTTTGTTAACTGGTGTGTGTTCGAAATTTTTATTTTAGAATTCACGGAGATCGTTCATTTCATTGTGATGTCTGTGGTGTGTGTTTGGATGTTCAACTGCATGGAAATCACAAATGTCGCGCAGGGTCTGCACATGATGAATGCTGCATTTGTTTGGAGGTAATGTATCAATTTGAGGTTTTTATTAGCAATGAATGTGTGGAATTCATAGGTGTCTTATAAACACTAGATAGCGCATCGCTTTTAGTAAAATTGAAGCCAAGAATATTCCAGCGGTTAGCCCCATTTGAATAGATGGCGGCCATTTGGAGTTTCCCACTCGCTAATAAACGCTTAAAAAACAACAACGTTCATCATTTGACTAGTTTGAAAATGTATTAGGAATATAGTTTAAACTTAATGTTTTTAAAAGTTCCCCGTTTAATTTAATTAAGAAATAGAAAACATACGAGTTTTCTCATTTCATGGGAATATCCTGAGTTTGCAATCACGGCTTCAATTTTTGGATTGCAGAATAATTAGACGCACTATCTAGCGTATATAAGATATCTATGGTGGAATTTCGTAGTCGAATTTTCGATTTCATCTTTATACAGAACTAGCTTGAAATTTCTCGTCTAAAACGAACCATATCGCCAAAATATTTGGTAGCTCGAAATATCGAGAAGCGTAATTCATTCTTTTTCAGTGACTGTGGTTGTCGCAAGCAAAGCTTTTTCCGCGATTCGACAACGCGGCGCGATTTTTCAGTTTTTGAAGGATAATAAAGCAGCCAATAGCAATGAAAAGAAATTTTAAAAGATATGTAGACCATATAACTCAAAACGTTATAGCGCTTCTAAATATTTGGAAAACTTTAAATAGGATCAAAGTTATCGGTCAGTGAAAATCGAAAAATTGCGCCGCTTTGTCGAATCGCGTCTGGTGTGTCTCGATCTTTACACCACGGTCGACACTGCACGCCCAAAGCATTAACTTTTACATTTCTATTTCTTTTCTAGGATGCATTTACAGGATGTCAGATCTTACCTTGTTCCCACAAAGTACACAAGGAGTGCGCAACGCAAATGATCAGAAGTGGAATGTGAGTGTGATGGCTGAATTTTAATCACTATTGCATGTTATAATATAGCATTTGTAAATTCTGAACGCTGATTGGCTAAGAGCCCTGTTGATATAACTCCATGTCAACACGGGAAATTTTCCGCCGTTTGTAATACGGAAATTGTTCTTATTCTTCGGGCTTTTGACATTGCTATATTATAAAACAAATATAAAACATTTTTTCCGTATTGATATATAGTTATATCAACACTCGTGGAAGTTGGGAAAACTCGAAATTGTGTGAAAACACTCCGCCCTTCGGGCGTCGTGTTTCCACACAATTTCTCGTTTTCCCAATTTCCACTCGTGTTGATATAACTGTATATCAACACGGAAAATGTTTTATATTTGTTAAATCTTACACATGCAAATTTGTACATTCTTGATGTGTTCATTTTATACATTGTAGAACTCGTTGTCCAATATGTCGGGAAAGTTTTGCACATAAACTGGAAAGAAGACCTCATCCTTCAAAGAAACGACCAGTGAAGCAATAGCTATAAAGCATTAATAGGCGTTAATAGAAACATTATCGTTGATAAAGTGATTGACATTAATCGTTGCACAACCTTGAAACTCACATGGTTATGGAGTACGCAAATCCAGTGTTCCATGACAGTCTGACCCAAAATCTCTCGGATGACCTTGAATCGATACAAAGGAGAGCAATGAAAATCATATATATTCCCTGGGATTACATACCATGAAGCACTAAGTATAACAAATGTCCAGAGATTGAAGACGAAAAGGCAGGAACTTACCAATAAACTATTCCAACAGAGACTATATAGACTATAAAGTATTTTACCGCCTCGAATAATAATAATTTCCTCTACAACATTTGAGTTCTGTGAACATGCAAGCATTTGGCAATTGGCATGGGCGGTTTTCTATGAATACCATCAATTCTTATAATTGTATAATTTCAACACGGCTCTTAGCCAATCAGCGTTCAGAATTTACAAACGCTATATTATAATGATTTGTATTATTCAAATGATGCAGGTTTACTAGCATAGCATGACCAGTTGCCATGGCTAGCTTGCCACTGAATACTGTATAGAAGTGAATTCCATTTCGGTGAATTCTGTTTCGAGGACTACATCTTTTGATTTTAATATCTTTCTTGTTCTTTTTTTTTTGTTTTAACTACGTATAGACTTTAACCACGTGCGTGTGCCGAGCCGTTTGGCCTGGAGTAAAATTTCCGTTTCTAGCCGTATATTTTCTGGAAATCTGACACTTTCAATGGAGCGTAATTAATGATAATTTTTCCAACTTAGTGATGCACCGATATCAGTGTATCGGCATCGGCTTATCGGTACTAAAATAGAAATATCGGTATCGGTTGAATTTTGTGAAATAACATGGAATATTGGTGTCGGTACGTATCAGCAAAATATCGGTGAATTCAATATCGGTTATCGGAATATCGGTGAATTTCCGAATCGGTGCATCACTGTTCCAACTAAATCTTAAGTTGAGTCAAATAGGTTTGACTCCTAATTACGTACGTAGTCAAATAAAAATGTATTTTTAGTGACTCGGCCGTCCGTCGCGCACAACAAGCAAAGTGTTAAAATGCGTAACATTTTGAATTACTACTGACAAGTTTATTTCAGATTTGCGGTCATTAAGGACCAATATAGTATTTGAAAACCAACCTTCTTCTAAACTGAAAACTATCCTTCCCAACCCGCCAAATTGTACCAATCAATTACTAATCTATTCATAGCCCCCTCCCCCCCAACAACCTAGTTACCCGATATCACAACCAGGTCAGTATTCTGTGTCAAACATTGCATGCCTAGTTGCCAGATGTGAACCAAGTAGGTTGTGTCAAAACTATGCTTAAGTTGACACGATGTCGCAATCAGGTATACTGTGTAAAAACTCGACTAGCAAAGGCCCTTCCGACGATGGGACGTCAGGTAGTTGATTCCCTCTCAAACCGCAACTTTCTGATTGCATTAACCAACGCGGAAGCTCATAATAAGGACTGGATGCATGAGAGCACTATGCCTATGGCACTGTTAATTTTTTTTGGTACAAACTTCACATACCCTTGGCTTGAGGTTCCCTGTAGAGTTTCAAAAGCTTTTTTCCGAGTCTTCTTTCCCCACGGAATACTGATATAAACCATTCGGCCAAGATCATCCGTCAAATGTTACTTTTGTGATAGCCACGTTCATCAACGAAGTCATGTATGTATTCGTTAGAGTAATTGTGAAATATAGTAATCTATATTAAAGTTGATTGTGAAATATAGAGGTACGGTAATATGGCGCTAATAACCTTTTCGTGCAGCTGAGCGCTGACGGCCATGATTTGCAAACGCGTCCGCCGGTCAGTTTTATGTCATGCACTGGCTGCTGTATAAATAGCAAGCGTGTAAACATAAGCCGTATTTGCCGTAATAGCTTGAGCAAATATTAAGCAATTATCACCAAAACGAGCTAGATGAAACCACAATTGAAACCATCACACCAAAAATCTGTATCGTAAATGACTTTTAATATTTCAAATTTGAAAAAGAACATGCAATTTAAGGTGGCTAGCTCCCTACAGTTTATACTAGAAAATCGAAGACCTCCGATTCAGACCCATTTTTTCGACAATTCCTATTTGTTAATAGGCAAAGAAAGTCCGACTAGAAAATTAATAACTACAGAGTTGGATTTTATCGAAAAAAAAGGAAAAGAATCGCAACTGCCGCTGTTGTGGCAACAATGACGATTCAATATGGCTGATATTTAGGTCGGTTACCTCCATTTTTTATTTTATAAAAAGAATTCGTTTAGTATTTTGAATCATTGTTATGATTTTTAAAAAAATTTGTCATGCGAAAAAAATTGTTACGAAGTATTACATTTTTCAATCTTGAAAAATTTTGGCATTACAGACTTTTTTAAAATTATCATTAAAATGATTCAAAATACTAAAAGAAATCATGCTATAAAATAAAAAAATGGGGTCACTGACTTCCAAGTTAAATTACTTTAATTTAAACCGATAATATCCACCATATTGGAACGTCATATATTGTTGCCATAAGAACAGTTGTTAGAAGTAAGTTTTTAAAAACTCAAAACTCCTTAGTTATTGTTTTATTCAAGTCAGATACTGTTTATTTTTCAACAAATATGTAATTGTTGTCCATAAATTCATGTCCAAATCAGAAAATCTTCCACTGTTTGTTAAAAAGTGTAGGAAGTCGGCACTATTTAACCACAAGTTAAACCCATAGAAATTATAGATAAGTCGTATAGAGTGAAGAAAAACGAAACTCGACGATGAATAAACTATGATTTTGTAATTTCATAAGATATTAGCAAAACAGTGACGTTCAGAGCATGCAAAAATGTTTTATGAGTAAAGTATATTTACGCGAAACTACTTTGTTTTTACAAGGCTGCACGATTTTCACCGTTTTTGTAACTGCACATTTGCTTTGTGCCTTCAAAGAACTTAATATTTCAAAATCTATCCCAAACTACAAATTAGAAAGCAAGACAAAAAATTTTGACGATGAAAAGCTTGCACTCCTGGTCAAATTCAACATGGCGGATTTATAAATAAGGGCACGCATGAGAAAAAGTGGAGACATGATTCGTGACCAAGTACACATTCTATATCTATTAGTGAGCTTAAGCAAGTGACGTTTTTGGCACGAACGGCATGAGTAACGTCAGAAGACTGGGTCAAGGACTGTGATTGGTGAAAAACGTCAACTTTACTTCCGGTTGACGTCCGTGTTGTCAAAAACGTCTTTTGCTTAAAGGGGCAGTATGATTAAAATTTTTATTTTCTTAAACGAAAGTGCTCGTAAAACTGTATAATAACTTGTTTTGAAGATTTTTGTTCCCATGCTTAGTTATTGAGATATTTCATTTTGTTTGTAACCATGTGACGTCATCTACTCAATTACATATATAATGAGATATCAGTAATTGTTGTGTATCTTTGCTATTTTTATCAAAATATTTCGAATGATGCGGCGCGTTTGTTAATTTAACCTGCATCATTAAACATACTGTGTTTTTTAACAAATCGATTAAAAATAGCAAAGATACACAACAATATATTACAGATGTCTCATTATATATGTAATTGAGTAGATGACGTCACATGGTTACAAACTAAAGAAATATCTCAAGAACTTGGCATCGGAACAAGAATCTTCAAAACAAGTTATTATACAGTTTTACGAGCATTTTCGTTTAAGCGTTGGTTTAAGAGAATAAAATTTTTGATCATACTGCCCCTTTAAACAATTTGAAATAAAAAGTTTTTACAAGATCGCTTGATCTCAAAGTTAATTTCTGATGTTCAGTTTGTGATAGTGATCCAGATTCACCCCCCGTTTCTTCTTCCAGTGTCGCGACTTGCTTTTCATTTTTCTAGCCAAGTCCCACATCATTATTTCCTTAGCGTTCATATGATAAGTAAAGTTGTTCCCCTGGGGGGCCCGAGGTACCTTTACACTAGTTAATGTTTCCAATATGATTTGCGTCAACATGATTGAGTGCAATGTCCGATTGTCAATAAGCGTTGCGGGTATCATATTCTTCTCTATCAAAAGCTTCATTAAATCCAAAGTTGCCAAATTTACGATGTCTCTCCAAGTCATGTTCGTTTGATCTGATCAAACATTTTAAAAGGTACTGGGTTTTTATAGATTTTGCTCACATGACAATTTGCATTGTGTTGACGCTGTACGTTTTTATAGGTTACAATAACTGAAAGGTCTCGTGTTTCAACGCCCGTTTGTGGTCCACGCAAAAAAGGTTTTCCAATTGTCCACATTATACTTGATCAATTCGTGCACTTTCATTTCGCTCAAACTTCTAGTAAAAGCTTCAATGATTTTCGCTTCCGAGGCTTTTTCCAAAGCATATTCAAAGTATAAACATAACTGTAGGTCCCTTTCCTTCGTAAGACATTGATGATGCGTTTGGGGCAGACGTTCTGTCATGCATCCGTTACAATTTTCAACAACGAGCTGAGAGATGATACGAGCTATTTCTTCAGCTGAAATTTTCAAAAGTTTCTTTACGATAAGCTTTTGACGATGATGGAGAACTAATTCCTTATTGTCAATGTCGATAGGCTCAGAACGAAGCATGTTTGATCTTTACTTGACTGTTGGCTGTTTCTTTTAAGTGCAAAACATTTAAAGTCGCACGTACCTATAAAAAACTTTTCATAATAGAGCGTACGTCATTTGGACACACTGCCAGCAAAAATCCGAAGATTAACAAAGATCACAACAGACAGAAAATGTTTAAAATCGGTATAAATGTTGGACGAAATTATCTCAATGTTGAGGGACATTTACAGGTGGGATACAGCAGTAAAACCATTAAGAACGACAAACCTATCGAAAATGCCTCGACAAATGATGAACACTGTATTCAAAATGATAGTATTCAAAACGTCGAAAAGGAAGCAAAGTTTGCGATAAGTCGTAAGAAAATTAATGAATGGCTGATGAAACAGGATGCGTCTACGTTACATAAACCTATGCGTCGTCACTTCAAACGAAATCGCGTCATCGTAGGCGGTATCGACCAGCAGTGGCAAATGGATTTGACAGACATGCAGTCCATGCAAAAAGTTAACGACGGGTATCGTTAACTGCTCGTGTGCATCGATGTCTTTTCCAAATACTCATGGGTAGTCCCGTTGAAAAACAAAACGGGTCCAACACTGGTCGAAGCTTTCAAAGTCATTTTGTCGTCTGGACGCAAGCCCGAAAAGATCATGACCGATCAAGGAACAGAGTTTTTAAACAAACATTTTCGAGCGTTGATGAAAGAAGAAGACATCGAACTGTATACCACGTACAACGAAACGAAAGCTTCTATCGTAGAACGTCTCATTCGTACTCTGAAGACCAAAATGTGGCGTTATTTTACTGCCAAGAAAACCATGAGATACTTGGACATGTTACCCGATTTGGTATATTCTTACAATCATAGTGTTCATCGTAGCATAAAGACAAAACCCGCGGAAGTAACTGCTGAAAACGTAAAGAAAGTGTGGCATATTGCAAAAGGTGATCAAAGAAGTCGACGTGTACGAAATTGAGAAAATCTTGAAGAAAAGTGGTAGAGGCCATAACGTACATTATTTTTGTGAAATGGTTAGGTACCCAAATAAATTTAATTCATGGGTACCCGCTTCTGAAATAAATAAATAAGATTTAAACCGTTGAACGTGTTGTCTGTTTGTTATTTTCATTGTAATTCACAATGAGCGGAACACATTTTTACCTCACGCTTCCTAGCAATGCATCCTTGGATATCTTTCCCGATAACAAGACGACAAGTTGTCGAGTCAAATTACCTCAAGCTATTAATTTGAGTGGCGAATGGGAAGTGGGTTTGTCTTCGATAAACTACCCTCGGACATAGTACACTCTTGGTAATAATTTTGATACCCACATTTATACCAGTGATCAAAGAGGACTTTTCAGTGCTACCATAATCGATTATGGCTTTTATGAAACAATGTCTGATTTAGTGAAATCTGTTAACAAAACTTTGGCAAAAGATGTGAGCGATAACATTAAGTTGACATTCAATGTTCGTACAGAAAACGTTACGGTCCATTTAAAAAACAAACATCAATTAGTTGTAACTAATAAAATGTCAATCGTGTTGGGGTTTGGTGGAAAAGAAACGAAAATAGTGAAGACAACAACAAGTCCTTACGCAGCTGACTTAATGGTTTTATGGCGATGTATGTATATTGCGATATTGTGTAACCTGAAATTGTCGGAAATACCAGTGCCAAATTACTCAGAAGCATTCCCGTCCAAGGAAAGTTGAAAATTGAAATTTAAAAATGAAAATTAAAGCCGTGCAAATGACTTTCAGACAAGACATAACAAAATATAAAATTTATTGGCTAACGTTTCGTTGTATTGTTCACAACATATATGGTCAGCTGTGAAATTTGTGGTCAGAGGGTGAAATTTGATGTTTAGTGGTATGGATATGAGCGAGTATTCCTGACATGGTTGAAACAGAACGTTCCTTTCCAGTCAAAGGTGAAACACCCATGTGATCAGAGATACGCGTGTGTATGTGTCGGCGAGTTTGACCAACATACAATGCACTACAGCATTGACACTTATACAAATACACCACATGTGATCTCAGTTCACCGGGAATTTTGTCCTTAACCCTTTCATGCATGCTTTTTTGCATACACAAATTAAAAATCAAAAATATTCTATAAAAGTTAACTGGTAACTAATAATTACAAAAAAAATAAAAATTTGATCTCAATGCATAAATATGACGTAATTGGAATTTGTTATTGGTGAACAACACTGTGCACGAGAGACTTGTAAAATTCACAAAATGCAAATTATTTCAAATAAAAATGCAATGAAATTGAATTTCATGGGAAGTTTAGAGAGTTGTTCAAACTAAGTTAATAAAAAAACAGGTGAAGAACTGACAGGTTAGAGGGGTTTTCGATGTTGCCTGGAGGGGGGGGGGGGTGCACTGACAATGGCTGAATTATTAAAAATCCAAGAATGTTTGTGAAAATTCTGTATAACTTTATATATTAAAAATTTTAACATGTCTGGCAACAAACAACTAAAACAATCAATTATTTCTATAAGACTATAAGAGAATGTTAGTAAAAGAGAATGATGTCACTGGCAGTGAAAGTCAGTGAAACAGTTTCGTTTCTTCAGCAAACACAGATAAATATTGCATTTTGTACACCTAACAGTTGAAAATCCAGTTTTGCAATATCTGCATCTTTGTTGCTTTTCCTGGAACTCTGGAAAATGTGCTACTTTGTCTTGATAAATAGCTTTTGGTGGTATAGGGACTGTTGGTGGTCGTCTCTGCTTGACAGGTGTTTCTCTTTCCAAGGATGGTCTACCTCTCTTTCGGGTTATATCTTTACCACATCGAATGAGGCTATCGGCTATCTGGGACTGAAATTGAATCAATTTCAGCTCGTTCTTTTTCTCCTCCCCTTCCTGCTCCATATGTCTCCGATATAAAAGCCAACCATTTGTTACTGAGATACCAAGGCAATAATAGATAATGTGCATATAGTACTTCAGAGAACGTTGAGATATGCGGTAGAGGGAAAGTAGCATGTCACAAAGGTCAACCCCTCCCATATGAATATTATACTCATGGACTGCAAGGGGCCTGTTGATCTGAATGTGCTCTTTTTCTTTCTTTGACCATCTTCTTGCTTGTGGACCAAGTTCTTTACCCACATAATTCGATACCAATTGAACAGACCCACTATCTAACCATCTAATTACTGTTATGCCACTATTTGCCTCCACAATCCAATCCATGCTACCCCGTCCATCATGTTTCAATTCCTTTTCACTCTTTAGATGCTTTTCTGCTCCCTTTAGCCGATCTTTCCGAATAGTTGCAACTGCCCATATTTTTTGCTTTGTCAAATACTGCAACAATTTCAGAGATGAAAAGTAGTTGTCAAAGTAAAGCTTGTGATTAACATTTGATGGCAGAGTTTCACACAGGCGGCGTACCACATTTCCACCCATAAGAAGTGAGGGGAAATCTTCATCCTGATCAGATTTGCCTGTGTAAACTTCAAAGTCATACATTATCCCACTAACCCCACACCTTGCCCAGACTTTAATTCCCCATTTATTAGGCTTTTTGGGACAATACTGTCCCAAATTTGTGCGGCTTTTTGTTGGTATTATCTGCTCATTGATAGAGTGTTTTTCTTCTTGCGGAACTTTCCTACATTTTGCTACGACAGATTCAATCACTGGTCTCACTTTAAATAATTTGTCATGCCCTGGCTGGCCTGCAGGTATGATCTTGGAATTGTCATTACAATGAAAAAACCTTCGCAGCTTCTCAAACCGAGCAACAGGCATTGTGTCTGCAATAGCTGGGATCCGGGTTTCTTTTGCCCAGTACATTCTGACTTGTGGCAACTTGATAACTGACATCATAATCAGAAGGCCTAGATATTGCTTTATTTCAAGTTGGTTAGTATTTACTGAGTTTCCGGTTTGCTGAACAGAGTACAAGTTTGTTTGTTCAGCAAGATGTTCAAATAAGTCATTATCAAAAAACATCTTGAAGTATTCTATAGGGCTAACCTGTTCATCTGGAGGTGGTGGTAATCCAGGACCAATATACGTAACATTAAATTGCACAGGATTGCATTTCCTCCAACGCACATTTGTGTCGCTTTCGTTGACATTTTGTTGCTTTTGAGCTGCTTGAGTTGAATTAGGTGTGGGGTTATTTGCACCTGGGTCCTCAAGATCACTTTCATCATCACTAGTATCATTGCTATCACTAACCTCGTAATCATCATCACCAACATTATCTTCAAGGTCTTCAGAATCACTTTCTTCTTCACTTATATTTGGATCTAGTACAAAAGGGTTTTCCACATGAATTCTTTGAATATGAGGTGCACGGCGTCTACCATAAAATGAAGAAGTTGGTATGGCATCTTTGTTGTTACTCATTATCTCTGTCTCTGTGAAAAAGAATATTTGTTATATACTATATTATCTCACATACATCAAAAATAAAGTTTCAAATAAAGTTAATAGTTCACTAATCACTATGAAGCTGATTGGGTCAAAATATGGAATAGGTAAACATCAATTTGTCAAGCAATATTCAAGAATATAAAGTGCCATAGATTGTACAACTGGCAAACATTTCATACACTCATTACTTAGCACGAAATCGCCTATTTTCTACAACTAAAAAGTAATAAGAATGGGACCACAATACAACCTTTGATGCACAATGTTGTTGTACAACAACAAATCAACTGTTGTCGTTTACAACAACTCAGACAATTGTAGCCCAAATTAGCGGTTTGGTGTGGCATAATAAAGCTATAAACAATCCCCCAAGATTTTTTAAAATTATTATTTTCATATAGCATTATAAATAAATACCATGAAACTTACCCTGTAGTTAACATTTGTCTTTCACATCCGCTACAAAAAATCATGCTCGCACGATCATATTTGACATCAATGGCCGACTAGTTTTCAGGCTCCCAAGTTGTGAGAGTAATAAAAGCTTTGCATAAATTATAATTTAATTTTAATTAATGCAGTTATGCAATCAATATGTTAATGTTTGAATTTGTTGTTGCACAACAACAGTATGCATGCTTAAATGGAACGAAATTGGAAAGACGGAAAGAAGGACGAAAGACGACACGTAAAGAAATGTGTGGATAGGCAGAAGAAAGATATTTCTGAAGTTGTGATCGAATTTGCAAACCATGATGACCAGTGAAAGGAAGACAAAAATATATAACCTTTTTTGAGCAAGTATGAACTTTATCACGAGAATTATACATTTTATCAAGAAATGATTTGATACAACTATATCCACAAGTGTTGCAGGAAAACCATTAAGAGAGAAGGTTTTCTTGAATTTTTCCATTTCCGAGTGGAAAAATACATAAGAAGAGCAAATGTTGAAAAAACGAGAAATAAGTGAGAAAAGTAAACCTTTTTTGTACAGCATTGGAATAAAACTGTCAAAATTGGTAAACAATTCCGTGGAAGTAGATTTATGATGAACCGTGGTAGCGAAAGAACCGTTAGAACGAATGACTTTGACGTCTAGAAAAGGAAGGCACGAATTACTTTCAAGCTCATGAGTAAAATTGAATGTTGTTCTTAATCCTATTGGCTTGCGACCAGGTATTATGTATGGTTTACCTAAAGTCCATAAGCCTAATTTCCCACTTAGACCTATAATCTCTGCTATAGGTACTCACTGCTACAAACTTTCTAAATTTCTTGTTCCACTTCTCCGTCCCTTCTCTACTAACACTTTTACAATTAATGATTAAGGAATTACGTAAGTTAAAAATTAATACTAATGATGTCATAATGGCCAGTTTTGACGTTAAGTCTCCCTTTACTAACATACCATTAGATGAAACTATTGATATAGTCATTAATAAATGCTTTGCTAGTGCCACACACTATCATGCCATCTCTCGCGATCAATTTAGAGCTAGAGAACTCTTAAATCTTTCGGTGAAAAATTGCCATTTTTTATTTGATGGTGTTCTATACAAGCAGGTTGATGGTGTAGCAATGTGTTCACCTTTAGGCCCATTGTTTGCTAACATATTCCTATCTTTTCATGAAAAATTCTGGTTAGCTGACTGCTCTTCTGTTTTTAAGCCTATATTCTACCGTTGGTATGTTGATGATTGTTTTCTTATTTTCACATCACGCGACCATGTCACTCCTTTCCTATCTCAACTCGAAACACCCCAACATTCAATTTACTCATGAGCTTGAAAGTAATTCGTGCCTTCCTTTTCTAGACGTCAAAGTCATTCGTTCTAACGATTCTTTCGCTACCACGGTTTTTTCGCTACCACGGTTTATCATAAATCTACTTCCACGGGATTGTTTACCAATTTTGACAGTTTTATTCCAATGCTGTACAAAAAAGGTTTACTTTTCTCACTTAACTCTCTTTATTTCAACATTCGCTCTTCTTATGTATTTTTCCACTCGGAAATGGAAAAATTCAAGAATACCTCTCTTAATGGTTGTCCTACAACACTTGTGGATAGTTGTATGAAATCATTTCTTGATAAAATGGCTAATTCTCGTAATAAAGTTCATACTTGCTCAAAAAAAGGTTATATATTTTTGTCTTCCTTTCACTGGTCATCATGGTTTGCATATTCGATCACAACTTCAGAAATTTCTTTCTTCTGCCTATCCACACATTTCTTTACGTGTCGTCTTTTGTCCTTCTTTCCGTCTTTCCAATTTCTTTCCATTTAAGGATAAAATTCCCGGTGAACTGAGATCACATGTGGTGTATTTGTATAAGTGGCAATGCTGTAGTGCATTGTATGTTGGTCAAACTCGCTAACACAATCACGCGCGTATCTCTGAACACATGGGTGTTTCACCTTTGACTGGAAAGAAACGTTCTGTTTCAATCATGTCAGGCATACTCGCTTATATCCATACCACTAAACATAAAATTTCCCCCTCTGATTTTAAATTCCTTTCCACTGCTAGTTCTGAAGCAGATTTACTCATTCGCGAAAGCCTTTTCATATCCAAGCTTAATCCTACTTTAAATGCTAACATTAGGTCAACTCCTCTTGAACTTTTCTAATGCTTTGCTAGGTCTCTAATTACTAACCATTATTTCTTTAATTTACTAATACTATTACTTTTAATAACAGGTAAAATATAAATAGGTTTAATTGCTCTGAAGATGTTGTGAACAATACAACGAAACGTTAGACAATAAACTTTATATTTTGTTATGTCTTGTCTGGAAGTCATTTGCTGGGCTTTAATTTTCATATTTAAATCCTTACGTACGCTATTATTTGGATCAATAGCAAGCGCATCCCGATGCCTGTTTTCTCAGGTAGCCCTTGGCAAGCCGGTTATGGTCACCAGATGGGCGCTGGTCACCACACGATATATAGATATATAGATAGATATATAAAGATATATATAGATAGATATATATATAAAGATATATATATATATATATATATATATATGAAGATATATATATGAAGATATATATATATATATATGAAGATATATATATATATATGAAGATATATATATATATATATATATATATATATATATATATATATATATATATATATATATATATATATATATATATATATATATATATATATATATATAGGATGAGCCATGCCGCTTAGGCATTGCGTACGCTCACTGCTTGCAGTTTGAGCGCTCTGGCATGGTTTGATGTCCCACAATCGTGAGGCATCAAAGGTAACTATAAATAAGAGTTACTTTCATCCTGCTCATCAGTACTACACTGATGAGGCCCATAAGGCCGAAACGGTACCGTCTGTAGTTAGATATCGCTCTATGGTTTTTAGGTCATATTGAGCGCTCTACAGGATGAGCCATGCCGCTTACGCATTGCGCACGCTCACTGCTTGCAGTTTGAGCGCTCTGGCATGGTTTGATGTCCCACA